AGGGAAATAACAAACAGAATGACATTTAAAGACCTGAGCTGAGAGTTCAGTCACCTTGACCTGCATCTGTATCCTCTTCCCTGACGGGCTGCTTGCACACAGCATGGGGACTGCAGCTCGAGTTGCTGTGGCAACGGGAGGCAGCGCTGTTGGCAACTACAGCATGATAGTGTTCACCAGCTGGGACTACGGTTGCCTGGGAGACCGAGCTACCAAACTGAAGCAGAAAAACATCCACTACCGGCTACAGGTCAGAGGGGATCTGTCCTACTTAGCAGGATGGAGGACACTTAGGAAAAAGTGGTGGCGCTTTTTAATCAGAGTGACATGCTTTCAGATGAACCTCTCACCGACCTCTTTTCTGTTTCTCTGTCAGGTGGATCTGGAGGAGGAGATGATAAAGAAAAGGGCAGCCTCTCTGACCACAAACCAAAAAGTTGTTTTATACGCTCTACGTGTTTTTATGTGTTTGGTTGCATTTGGGCTCATTATAGGGGCCTTCTACGGCATCTTCCTGGCCACGGAGTTCAGCCAGGTAAATGATGTGAAAGGCGAGTTAATGACGTAGATCTCGGCTCTTAAAAGACTTGGGTGACCTTTTGGCTTATATCTTTTATAAACAGGAAAAAAGTGGGAAAGAAGGAATCCTGGGTTTGATTTTCGAGTATCTACCTTCCATTGTCATCACCGCTGGAAACTTCTTGGTACCGCTGATGTGTGACCAGATCGCCCTGATTGAGCGTTATGCCCCCAGCACGACTGTCATAGTGGCACTATTAAGGTTTGCACTGATGTTTCTGTGAGTGATTGATTATGTCAGAGCATTTGCTTGTAGTTCATTGTTGTTTGTGAAATTGCAAACAATTGAAGAACAACTTAGAGATTTTACAAAACCTGCTGCAAATGGAAACACTTGACAAAACTTGTGTCATCTTTTCTTACCTTAAAAAGAGCTGTATTTATCTCTAGACACTGCTGGTCGCCTTCAGTGTAGGCCGCCATGTTGAACAGCCCAGAGCAGACAAACCAAAACCTGGCTGTAGATCGGGCTTTTTGCATTTGTTGTGGATTTGTCTGCCACTGTAGTTTCTACTTTGAAGTTGGAAGGGGAGGTTGAAGCAAGGGAGTCGCAATCCGCATCTACAACATATATATATATATATATATATATATATATATATATATATATATATATAACAACATATTTTATATACATATATAAAAATGCTTCACTTTAAGTAATAGTCTGGCATTTACAAGTGTACTTAATTTAAAGTACAGTATCAACAAAATGTACTCAGAAGTAAAAGTATTTGGCCCCTAGGAGTCTGGTCCCCTCCAAAGGCTCACAAGATTAATCCAATTATTTTTTAATTTCACTCTAATCTTTTCCTTTTTGTCAAATATTGGATTTTACCTCTTTGGGCCTCGGACAGTTATTTAAATGAAACCATCTGAGAGACTTAGAGGGGAAATCACCCTTTGGTGGAACTGTTAACCACTCATAGACATCTGAAACCTTGTGACAAAGGGTAGTTTTGTATTATATTTTACAAGCTTATCACATGTTCTTTAATGTAAGATCTTAATAGCAGTCAGGTAAATGTTGTGCAGTAAAAAGTATGATGTTTCTCTCTGATTTACTTTTTCAATTTGTCTTTAAAGAACAACTTAGTGTCAGTAATTGATAATGATTTCTCTTCCACGTATAGGGCAGTGTTCCTTCGTCTGGTGAGTCTGGGTGTTCTCCTCTTCACCTTGTGGCGTCAGATCACCTGTGATGGCAACACAGAAAGTGCAGAGTGTAAACTGTGCGAATACAACTATAACTTCTATCCGGTAATTATACCTCTTGAGTGTGTGTGAATTATTTTTAAAGATGTTTCTTACACACAAACAGGAGTCTCCAAGCTGTTAGACAAGCACCAACAGCTTGAAAAAAAGGGAGAGGGTTTGAGATAACAAACACAACACACAGTTGAGAAGATGACAAAATATTTGTTTTTCTAATCTAACATCCTTGTTGTGGATGTGTTTGCATGAGTAAAGAATTCTGTTTGTTTTTGCATCGACACATTACAGAGACAGAGTAAGCTCTAAGTTAGCTGGATCAACTGAGAACTACAGTACGCAAATGCAAGAATGAGAAACAGATTGACGGTAGTTTGGGTTTGCCAGAATATAGAGAGAAGAGTAAATGATTCTGCCTTTGATTGATGATTCTACATTTTGATCCAACAAAGTCATAATTGACAAAGATAAAGCTTCAGTTTGACAATTTTTTTAAAATTAAAAAACAATGTTATTGATGGAAGAAGTTGATTGTCTCATTAATGAATTTCCAAATGTGTACTTAGAGTAATTTATGACATGGAATATAATCACAGCTTGTGTGTACATTGCTATAATCTTTAAATAATGTGCCTATATTGAGACATATTTAAGGATTTTGGGGCAAACAGAATCATTTAGAATATTTACAGAATTGAACTATTGTAAGACAGGTTCATTATGTCACATTTGTCTCATCCTGCAGTGCTGGGAAACACGTGTAGGACAGGAGATGTACAAGCTGACGCTGTTTGACCTCCTCATCAACATCGCCGTACTCGTTCTGGTGGAGTTTCCACGCAGGTACAAATCACCGTGTGAACAATTTGTCTGTCAGATCATGTTGAGAATGAGACATTCAGCCATGTGTTTCTACTGTGTTTCTACTGTGCGTGTCAGGATGGTGGTGGACAACTGGTCCAATAAGCTGGCTCAGTGGGTTGGTCGGCAGGAGTTCGTAGTTTCATCCAACGTGCTTGGGCTGGTTTATGGTCAGACTGTGGTTTGGACAGGAGCTCTTTTTTGCCCTCTGCTGCCGCTCATCAACACCGTCAAGTTTATCATCCTCTTCTACTGCAAGAGGGTGAAGACATCGCTTTAACACAGCCAACATTTCACACAATGGAGACAGTTATTCACCAACTCTCTGCTGTGGTTTTGTCACTCATTTTGTCTCCATTGCCTCCTCAGATCACACTCTTCAATAATTGTCGGCCTGCACTGAAGACGTTTCGCTCCACCACCTCCACCTTCTTTTTCCTGGTGGTGCTCCTGTTTGGCTGGAGCCTGGCCACAGTTGTCATGGTTTACAGTCTTGCTGAGTGAGTTCTGATTGCTGCCTTCTCCTCTGTAACAATAATAAGTGTTTTTCACTTTAGCACTGGTAATGACAAATAAAAAAAATATCAACATGCTAGAAATATTGGATGTGTTTCCCTCTTTCCACTCAGGATCCGTCCGTCTATGGGTTGCGGTCCTTTCCGTTTCTTCCCCAACATGTGGTCGATTGTTCCAAGATCTTTCTCCAGCCTCTCTGAAACTACAGAGGAGTTTCTTTTCTTCATTGGTTCCCAGGCATTTTCCATCCCTCTGTTTGTGCTATTTTGGTGAGTGAATCTTTTCTTTTTTTTATTCTGGTATATATACAGTACTGTACTTAAATATTTTACCTGCATATTATATGGTCCTTCACTGTTGAGTTTTATGGTGTATAATCATAGCCTTTCTCTCCCTGGCAGTGTGGTGATGTGTTATTTCATAGCTTTAGCCTCTGTCTATGGGAAAAGTGTTGCCCTGCTAAGAGCTCAGCTTAAGCTGGTAAGTTGTTGGCCTTTTTCCTGTATAGTGTATTGTAAATTAAATATCTAATAATCTTGAATTTTGACAATATTCAGGTTGGCCTATATGATTTCCTAATAGTCACAGGCATTCAGTTTTAATCGTTCAATCTTTGGCTTACAGGAGGGACGTGATAAGCAGTTCTTGGTCAAGCAGATTGAGAAACTGAGTCGACAACTTCAAATACCACAACACACTGCAGGAGCAGGACAGTGAACATATGGACCATGTTTAGTTCTTACGAAACACGAAACAACAGGATGAAGCATCTTCAGTGTTGTATAATGCTGGCTGGGGTTTCACAAACAATCCTGCCACAAGATTATTGAATTAAAGATGTCGAGATGTTTGTCAGATTAGACAAAGAGATATTTTTTCTAGGAAAATTTAAAAAAGAGAAATTAAAACCTGTTCATTATTAATCTGCTTAAGTTTATGGTTATATTACATAAATGCCTTTGTTATAAATAATAAGATAAGATTCACCACTTTTGTCCGTACATGAAAACAGAGTTGTATGTCTTGTTTTCCCTTTTACATAATAAAATGATGTGTGTATGTATTATTATAAATTAAAGGAGTTATATCCCCCTCTAGTGTCAAGATTGTGACGTAGCAGAAAAATGTGTGTTGTTTACTTCCGGTGTGAGTCTGCTTGTTCCTGTGGGCTCGTGCAGCTGCCAGCGCGAGAGACCCTCTCCCAGCAGGTTGTGTTTTACTTCTTTACTGCATGTTAATGTTTTTATAATTGATCCAAGCATGAGTTTGTTGTCAGGGAGCAAGCTAAATGTCGTAAACGTCAAAGTGTAGCGTCAAGTTGGGAAGTAGCAACGGTTGGCTAACGGTAGCTTAACTGCAGACGGAAAAACAACTAACATTAACGGCTTTTCTCTCTTTTTTTATGTCGTCGTTGGTCCAGTTTTTATCCGTACTCCTTCCCTCTCTCCTCCTCTCACTACAAACGCTACGGTTTTATGAATGAACCGCGCTCACGGCTCATTCCCACGTCAGTAGACGCTAGCCTGCTCTGCTAGCCGACTGCTAACGGCCGGTAGCAACAGTCACCAGGGCAACCATGAATATCCTTCCAAAGAAGAGTTGGCACGTGCGCAACAAGGACAACGTCGCGCGCGTCCGGAGGGACGAGGCACAAGCGGCAGAGGAGGAGCGCGAGGCCAAGCGTCGCGTGGAGCGTGCCGAGCAGGAGGTGAAATATTTTTCATATATATGAGGAGGAGGAGGTGAACTATTGACAGTGTGTATGAGGAGGAGGAGGAGGAGGAGGTGAACCATTGACAGTGTGTATGAGGAGGAGGAGGAGGTGAACTATTGACAGTGTGTATGAGGAGGAGGAGGAGGTGAACCATTGACAGTGTGTATGAGGAGGAGGAGGTGAACTATTGACAGTGTGTATGAGGAGGAGGAGGTGAACTATTGACAGTGTGTATGAGGAGGAGGAGGGACCATTGACAGTGTGTATGAGGAGGAGGAGGAGGAGGTGAACTATTGACAGTGTGTATGAGGAGGAGGAGGAGGTGAACCATTGACAGTGTGTATGAGGAGGAGGAGGTGAACTATTGACAGTGTGTATGAGGAGGAGGAGGTGAACTATTGACAGTGTGTATGAGGAGGAGGGAGGGACCATTGACAGTGTGTATGAGGAGGAGGAGGAGGAGGTGAACCATTGACAGTGTGTATGAGGAGGAGGAGGAGGAGGAGGAGGAGGTGAACCATTGACAGTGTGTATGAGGAGGAGGAGGAGGTGAACCATTGACAGTGTGTATGAGGAGGAGGAGGAGGAGGTGAACCATTGACAGTGTGTATGAGGAGGAGGAGGTGAACCATTGACAGTGTGTATGAGGAGGAGGAGGAGGAGGAGGAGGAGGAGGAGGTGAACCATTGACAGTGTGTATGAGGAGGAGGAGGAGGTGAACCATTGACAGTGTGTATGAGGAGGAGGAGGAGGAGGTGGAGGTGAACCAGGTGTTGTCATCTCCCAGGATGATGACGAGGAATGACAGTGTGTATGAGGAGGGGAGGAGGAGGAGGTGAAATGACAGTGGGGGGGGGGGGGGGGGGGACGTAGACGACGATGATGCTGATGATGATGATGATGATGATGATGATGATGCTGTAGTAGCCGCTGACAGTGATGAGGAGCAGTTCCCTAAAGTGTCTCATAGCGAGCTGTCCAAACACCACAGACCGTTTATTGTCACCTTATGTTCCCTGAAAGTCTTAAAAAAAAAAAGTTTGCAGGTTATATCCAGAATTTAAACTTAATTTAAGTCCTGATTCATTAGGAAAAACATCATTAAACTGAGCTCCATGATTAAAGATAAAGCCTAGGGCAGTTCACAGCATCTATGCAAGTAATTATACATTATCAATTAATTTTCTGATTTTTTTTTTACTTAGTTAATTAAACGATCATTTAGTCTATGAAATATTTGGAAAATCCCAAATTTTCAGAGCCCAAAGGTGATGTCATAACCTCAAACTCTCTTATATACAGCAAAGAAGAGAAGCAAACAGCAGACGTTTGACATTTGTTCTTGCTTACTATTAAATGAGTCAGCCACTGTCTTGACTAATCATTTTAACTGTAATTCACTCTCAGTATTAGCAGCCATGTGTCAGTGTGTGAGTCGATTGTTTGGTGTGTCTAACTTTGAACACGCACACACAGAAAGGTGCTGATAAAGTATGAGCGTCACCAGTGTATTTCTCTTTCGTACTAACATTTCTAAACATAATTATATAATTATAATTTGTGCGAGTTTTAAAAAGCACACACTAAATTAAAGTAGTTGAACTGGTTAAAGAGAGTTATAGTTGAATTTCACATTATAGCTATTAACTATAGTGATTCAGTTAAAAATACAGTTATATTATTACATACAGTATTATTTATAAAGCAATCCTTAAAGGATTATTAGGTGTGCCTAGTATTATCCTAATATTTGTATACAGACTTACTCTTTTGTTGCAGTTGTTGTATAGTTTATTTGACTGAAGCAGACGTATTAATATAATATATAATTAATCACAAAGAAGGCTTTATTGTTCATATAGTTAGTTTGGACTAACGACTCAAACTCTCCACAGGCACGTACAGAGTATCTGAGAAGGAAATCCCGAGCTGCTCTCCAGTCAGAAGGAGGAAGGAAGGACGATGAAGATGATGATGATGAACGGGGGAGAGGAGGAAGTGCAGCTCTGGAGCATCTTAATCTTTTCCCCCTGGAGGAATCTTCTGAGAAGAAAGGGAATGAGGAGTATCTCAAGGAGAAGAAAGATGAAAAGGTGATGGTGCTACTTCTTCTGTCGCTCTTCACATTCAAAACCTCCCACGACTGTTCTCGGGTTTCAGCGTGTCCCTTCATAGATTTTATTAGTTTGATTCCATTTCTGGCTTTACACTGAAACAATAACCAGAGTAAAACTCGATTGCTGTTGCCAGCCTGTTTCTGCTGCATTGCTCACCACTTTGGTCGCAGGTGCAGCCGCTGTTCAGCTTTAATATGGAAGAGTGAACACTGGTTACTCTGTGCAGATTCACATCCACAAACCTCACTGGTTATGATTTGTACGTGCACGAGTATGACAGCCGGAGGTGGCAAAAGAGATTGGATGTTGTTGGATGAATGGCAGATGTGCAATGATGCAAAAACATTTAAAATAAATCCTTAATTCCACTAAAATGCTCTAAGACTAAAGTAACGAGCCTGTTTTTGAAAATGCAAGGAGTAGAAAGTACAGAAATCTGTGTGAAAATTGAAGTGGTAAAAGTTTTCAGAAACATAAATATGTACAGTAAAAATGAATTTGTACTTTGTTACTTCCCACCGCTGATGACTGAGGATCTCACAGGGATTTTTACATTTTTAAGTATTTGCTGCATCTTTTAACTCTCTCACCCATGATTTCTGTCACAAAGATCCTTAAATAACTTATTATAATAGTAATTTAATTTAAAAAATATTAATACATTTAAAAAAGTAACTTTTGATTTTGACAAAATGTTTTTATCACAAGCTCCACTTACTTGGTTTTTCCAGAGTTTGTTCAGTTGTCATGGAGATGGTTTAGTTGTTATAACTTGGCCTAATTATGGATTTAGGGGTTTCAGTCTTTGGCACGACAACTACTATTGAATATTGATCTGACTGATCAACTCCTTCTGAGTCACGATTGGTGACTGTATGCTTTGGAAAAATCAAGTAAGTGGATCTTGTCATTGTGATAACAAAAAACTTTTTCAAGGCAAAATATTAAAATTTAAGGATGTAATCCAGTTTTATAATCAAATATTTAGAAAATATGAAAATGTTTCTTTTATTAGCTAAAGGAAAAGTGAATAATTTTACTATTCTTGCCTTCTCTACATTCAGAACAGTTGCTTAGCTCTACATTCAGAACTCAACAACCTTTAATTACTGCTGGTTTTCCTTGTTTTTTGTTTCCAGGAGAAACAGGAACGAGCCATCGGCTTACTGGTGTCTCTAGGACCTCAACCAGGGACCGAGGTCACTCCATGGTACATGAAAACCGGCAAAGAGAAAGAAGAGCAGAAAGAGAAAGAAGAGAGGAAAGAAAAAGAAAAGAGGAAGGGAATAAGTGAAGAGGAGAGAGAGAAGAAAGATCGCAGGTTGAAAGATAGTTTAGATCCATTGAAAGATATGAAGAAAGCACTCGCTGTAAAGGAGAAAAAATACCACAAGAACAAGAAATGGGAGAAAAGAGACAAAGGGGAAAAGAGGAGCAGCGGAGAGAGGTAAGAAAGTCAACTCCTCTTGTTACTTAACGTCCTGATATGAATAAAATGTGACGATGTTGTAGATATCATTATGTAGAGACCTAAAAGATCTTTCTCCGGTCTTTTCCAGCTCCATAGAGAGGTTACGTGCTGAGCGTTTACAGAGGGAGGCCGAAGAAAGGAGGAGAGCCAAGGCCCTGCTCGACCAGAAGAACGGCAAAGGGAAGGAGCCGGAGATAACCGAGAGGGAGAAACCATACAACAGTGCATACTTCCCAGAACTTGCCCGAAAGCGTCAAAGGCGGGATCGAGACAGCTGGAGAGACGAAATATTAAAATCATGAACTGTCTTTATTGGTCGTTAGTGGACAAATATTGTGACCAGTGTGTGTGCAAATGTAAAAAAAAACCCAGAAGAAAGAAGGTAATGAAAATGTGCCAAAGTAGGTGTAGATAGAGGTATAAAACATCGAGAACTCATAACCGTTACTGTCATTACGTTAATGAAAGGGCAGCTTATAAGCCCACTTTTTTATTTATTTTTGTTCACCCAGAAAGAGAAATTCTTGCAGTTGAGGTCAGAGGTCAGACGCAGTTGCAGTTACTTCTGCCCCTGCAGAGTTTCGCTCATGATCTCACGTCAGCGGGGCAGATGGTTGCCGTCACAGGGGGGGCTGGAAGCTCAGGCTTTCAGCAGAGAAAACACTCAGTGAACAATGACAGAGAAAGTAAGGTGATTTAAAAAATCAGCATGTGAATGAACAGAAGTTACACAAAGTAGAGCTGAAATGATTAGTCAATAAGTTGATTGACAGAAAATTAATAATTTCCATTATTTTTCCATTTTCTGTCTCCAGCTTTATCCTTTTGATCCTTTTTTTGGTCATATTGTTAAAATCTGAATCATTTAATTTAATCTGGATTTATTGCAGAGTTGTTGTATTGCACTGCATTAGTTTTGGTTTGGTGTTGCCTGTGGATGAAACTAATAAACACTGTAAATTACCCATGACATCGTGCACAACAAAGCTTGATCTTTGTTTCTTTAATATGACCATTCACATCATATTATATTAAAGCCCCCCTCCATTGACAAATATGTTTTCTTCTTGTTCCTACACTTGAATGTTTGATCTTCACTCTGCAGAATGATGACATCCATCTGCTTAAAGTGGAACGTTTCTCTGAGCTCACTGAATATTATGATTTTTTAAGGGGCGGGGCCTAAAAAGCATGATTTGTGGCATTACAAATAGTTTGTAAGTCTGGTCCAGTTTGTAACTTGTGCAGTGTGATGTAGAAACCTGAAGCCACCAGTACACAAACACTGAGAACGGACTTTACAGTGATGTAGGAAACATCTTGTGTGCAGCAGGAAAACTTAAGAATTGGACATTTTGATTTGTTTTTGCAGAAACAAAAAGGTAGACTATTTGTAATATATGTCTGGAGGAGATCTCTAAATGCATTTAAAGGACCAGTGTGTAGGATGTCATTGCATCAAGCAGTGAAGTTGCAGATTGCAACCATCTGAATACAGCTCGTCCTTCTGAAGGAGAAACTATGTTGGCTGGGAAACACAAACTAGAAACATGGCGGACTCCCTCTGTAGATAAAAACAGCTCATTCTAAGTTAATGAAAACAAAAATTATTATTATTTTCTGAAACTTTTATGAACTAATGAAAACCTACCTATAAATATTATATTTCTCCAAATCGATCCTCCTAAATGTTACACACTGAACCTTTAAATAATAGGTGTTGGTCAGCAACTCATTACAATAATAATATTACTAAATAGTTACAACATTGCTTTTGTTGTCACCTCCTACTGATTTGAAATCCAATCACATCTTTGGATTATTTTTTGTAATCATGGAGGAAACTAGTTTGTAAGATGGAAACGCTTTTACATTCAGTGTCTGTAAATAATGAATTACTTTGATTTTAACAAACAGAACTGGATTTAAGTTTTGGGAAGAAATGATACAATTACCAATTTGTGGGGAGGAGCAGAAAAGTAATATAATAGCCAACTAATTGTTGTTGGCAGGGAATAATAATATTACTTTTAAAAAGACTAATGAGTAATAAATTAAATTTTT